CAGTCCTCGCCGTCCTCGGGGCGAAATCTCTAGCGATTTCGCCCTCCCCGCTAATGATTTTGTCCCCCCCTCCTCCTCGCCCCCCTTTAGCGATTTCGCCCCCACTTTCCTCAAGAACGTCCAAGCACACAAATTTGTTAAATAATTTTAATCATAGTATTTCGTTGTATTTGCGGAATTATGTTGCATGTAAACACTCCCAAAACTATTTTACCAATGATCAGCTCAAATCCTGTGTTGTTGAGATGCCTATGCTGTTAAGCATAGAAAGAGAGAATATTTTAACCAATGAGGTTACTTCGTTCGAATTTTTAATCAAATTTGTATACCTGCCATACCTGTGGTACGGTGTAAAAGAATAGACTAACTAAGGGTCGGAAGGGTGAGGCGAGATCTACGGGGGCGGGGCGAAATCGCTAGCGATCTCACCCCCACTGGAGGGCGAAATCGCTGGGGGGCGAGATCACTGTGACACCGGGCCGCCGTCTCGCTGGGCCCCCCTTTGGTGACGGTATTCCGGGTGACAAGGCCGCGGTCACCGCTAACTGCCAGGGATCAGGAAAACCTTGAGGTTGATTTAGATCACAGACAAGGTTTATCGTCTATAAAGGAAAGCGGCCAGTACAGATATAGTGGCACCCTGCCTTGCTGGACCCAACCCCTCGTGTTGGCGGTATTCAGAGTGACACGCTAAGGCCACAGCAAGTCAATTTTATGAATGACATCCTCCGCAGACTCCAAATCTAATGCGAGCGGGCAAAAAAAACAAGATTCCTACGTTTGAAAATTTTGACTATAATTATTGTACAGATGGATTTGATTCAGTGGGAACATCACACATACACAGCCAGCATCACATATCACTGCGTGAAAGTTAGAAATAAAACATTAAATCAGAGCCTTTTCTTGTCTCCTCTCTTCATAGTTATCTGCCATCCACCTTCCGGCATGGTAACAGATATTTTTGCCCATTTTTGGCATGTTGACCACTGTCAGAGGGCAACAAAATTTCTTGTCTTTTTTTTTTCAAAATCAGGCGAAAATTAATGCGCGCGCGCTGATGTCATCCATAAAAATACTTGCTGTGGCCTAATCCTGATCTGGTGTCTACATCAAAGTGACAGTCTTTTACTCCAGATGTATTTGCCCATTTTCGGCATGTTGACCACTGTCAGAAGGCCGCAATTTTTTTCCAAAATCAGGCGAAAATTAACGCGCGCGCTGATGATGTCATCCATAAAAATTACTTGCTATGGCCTAATCTTGATCTGGTGTCACTGGAGTAAAAGACTGTCAGTTGACACCAGATAAAGATAATTATTTTGAAGGAAATTTAAGAAAGCGGTTCACCCGTGGTCACAAGGAATTCAGCTATATGGCTGCCAAAGCCAACCGACATCTGGAGTAAAAGACCGCCAGTTTGATGTAGACACCAGATCAGGATTAGGCCACAGCAAGTAATTTTTATGGATGATATATCAGTGCGCGCATTAATTTTTGCCTGATTTTGGAGACAAAAAACAAGAAATTTTGTTGCCTTCTGACAGTGGTCAACATGATAAAAATGGGCAAATATGTCTGTTGCCATGCCGGAACGTGAATGGCAGATAACTATGAAGACAGGAGACAAGAAAAGACTGATTCAATGTTTTTCTTTTTTTTTACTTTGATGCAGTAATGCTGTGTATATGTGATGTTCTCACTGAATCAAAACCATTTGTATGATTATTGATGAGTCAACATTTGAGAATGTCGGAACCTTGTTTTTTTGGCCCGCCTTGTTTTCTTTTCGCCCGCTCGCATTAGATTTGGAATCTGCGAAGGATGTCATCCATAAAATTTACTTGCTGTGGCCTTGAGAAAGCGGTCCGCCCGTGGAGGCGGTAGTCAGGCCAACACGGATCACTGACAGCTGCCAAAGCTAACGGAGACTGACTGTCAGTTTGATGTAAACACCAGATCCATCCTAGTTACTCGATAATTATGATGTTGTTAAATCTGCGTCGTGTAACATTAAAATACAAGGACGACACAAATTTCTTGTCATTTCTCAAACTAAGTTGAATCAACTCTACTCCAGTGCAAATAAGAAGTCTCTACCAGACTAACTACGCTGGTTATATATTGGAGAATAATTGCCAGGGGAGTTTGGCCGCCTTGTAGGTTTGACTGGCCGCGCAGGGAGGGAAAGAAACTACCTCCCCGCGGCCGGACTACCTTGGCCAATTTCACTCTCTTTTTTTTGCCGAATTCTACGATCTGTATTCCCGTAGAAAGGCCTGGTGGAGGCTAGCAAATAATTGTGATTCAGAAAGTGTCGGTGCCAAAATAT